CTAGTCACCTCCTCATATCGTCCCTTGGAGTTCTCACCAATGTGAGAGTCCCCAGACTATTACTGATCTAGGATAACTTACGTTGAGGAGTGGGGGTCCCTCTTTTTTGCGGGTGAGGAGTGGGGGTCCCTCATAGAGGCTTCCATCTTCGTCCATTGCTAGCATCACTGGACCTCGAACTACCATGACTAAAGTAGTTGGTGGAAGCCGATAGGCGCTCGGTCTGATCCATTGAACCTTTATTCCTTCCAGGTGAAGCACAGGGCCATTCTCCCTATTGGTATGTAGTATGAACCCGTAGATCACACTTCCCATTAGGATGAAAAATTTGGGCAGATTCAAAGCAAAATTAAATGTAGCACCTTTCCGAGTTGAAAGTCGTAGCAGGTCTTCTAGTGAAGTACAAAAATAAAATTTTACCAGTGGTTCGCACAGAGAGAACTATGCATGAAGTCCATGTTTTTTTCCTCTAGCAGTTTCATATTTCTCACATTTACTTTGACACGTTCTTCTAGCCAATTGCCCAGATAATTCCCCAAAATCCTTGTTCTTTGTCTAGCGTGAGATCCTTCATCATGGCCCATGTTTCAATGGTGTCAAAAACCATCTCATACGTCGTGTTTTCCTGGCATAGTCCTTCAACACAATAAAAATAAAATCAAAATGCCACGAATCATTTTGCAATGCCTGCCAAAGGAAAACCCTTGCCCTAGTGATTGTTTGCCGATCGCCAATGCATTGCCTGCTAGTTGCCTTATAGTGTGTCTTTTGCTCGTGGTGGACCATTCCATCTTTTTACATATTCATACATCATTTAGGTAACAATACAAATCATTTTGTAGTGTCTGCCAAATGGAAAACCATAGCCCTAGCGATCGTCTCTCATCGCTATTAACCACTTCCCAGTTGCCTCCTAGTATCTCTTTCGCTCGCGATGAACGCTTTAATTCTAATTACTTTTTACTTATGTATAAATTATTTAGTTAACAATCTTAATTGTGTATTTTCGATGAAACAACTTACAATCTTAAGTATACTTTTTTCAATTGTATCTAACAATATTATCCGAGCAGTTTTAACATGCTCTCTTTAACCCACCCCCCCCTCTTTTCACATGGGAGGTGAAAGTATATAATAGATCTGAGGCATTGATCTTATTAATTAGTGGTTTAATTAACTCTTACCTTCTTACCTCACATGTAAAAGAGGGGGTAAGAGGGAGTGTCGGTGTCAAAACCGGCGGATCTCGGGTAGGGGGTCCCGAACTGTGCGTCTAGGCGGATGGTAACAGGAGACGAGGGACACGATGTTTTACCCAGGTTCGGGCCCTCTTGATGGAGGTAAAACCCTACATCCTGCTTGATTAATATTGATGATGTGTGTTACAAGAGTGGATCTACCACGAGATCAAGGAGGCTAAACCCTGGAAGCTAGCCTATGATATGATTGTTGTAATGGTTGTTCGTCCTACGGACTAAAGCCCTCCGGTTTATATAGGCACCGGAGAGGGCTAGGGTTACACAAAGTCGGTTACAATGGTAGGAGATCTACATATCCGTATCGCCAAGCTTGCCTTCCACGCCAAGGAAAATCCCATCCGGACACGGGACAAAGTCTTCAATCTTGTATCTTCATAGTCTTGGAGTCCGGCTGACGATGATAGTCCGGCTGTCCGGACACCCCCTAGTCCAGGACTCCCTCAGTAGCCCCTGAACCAGGCTTCAATGACGATGAGTCCGGCGCGCATATTGTTCGGCATTGCAAGGCGGGTTCCTCCTCCGAATAATCCATAGAAGATTGTGAACACAAGGATAGTGTCCGGCTCTGCAAAATAAATTCCAGATTCCACCGTAAAGAGAATAATATGTACACAAGTTCAATCTGCTGACGTATTTTGTGGCATGACGTCACACCAAGCCTTTACTTGAATCGTTTTTTATTATACCACCTCAGCGCGTTTAGCGAAGCGGTTTCCTTGGCACGTCTTGTCAAAGCAGAGATCATGTTCCCCTTATTCTGGGATCCTCATCAATACGGACGTGGGTAACCCAACCGCGCCATTGATGGTGGCGCTTGGGGGATAAGCGAGTTTTACCAGGCCCGTGGGGACGCATAGTCTTTGTCCGCCCATATATATATAAGGGGATAAGGATCCACCTTTTTACCTACGCCTTCTTCCTCCCTTGCTTATCCATCTTCGCGCACTCGAGCTCCAGCGCCCAAGTTCGCACATCTCGTCTCAACCTTCTCCAGTCATATCCGTAGCGGGAGGCAAGTGGATGGCCTCCTCCGTCGGAGGGGCACATCGAAAGGCTGCGCAACGCCGGATACCATATTATCCACATGTAGTAAAAAAACTCAAACTTCCCTATTATAGATTTCAGATATCTTATCGTTACAAATACAAAACCAGTGCGGTTAAACTCTATTCATCGTTAAAATGCTGAACCACATTTAATGAATTAAAATTTGTTGAAATATATCAAAGCAAGAAGAAAACAACAATAAAATCAAAATTATCTATGGTATATTTTGTGTCATTATTTAGATATACATAGTCTGCTTTTCTCTATTTTTGCTCCCTCTCTCTCCTTATGATCATCGAGATCATTTTTTTACACTGTACAAGTCTAACAAATATCCTAATAGAAATTTCTAGAGTGGGGTTATGTAAGTAATAGAAAAATGAAAAGTGTGTGAGAGATCAACAAGTGGTTTGTCCTAGATTTAGCTCTCGCCCTTGATAATTTACATTGATTGTGTTTTTCATTTTTTTCCCTCGTAGTTGATCTTTTTATTCTTGTCCATTAGGGACATAACTAATCAACAAAATGTGTGCTCGGTTCGTGGACACACCAGGTGTGAAATATTGATGGTCATCGTTACATGCGCGAGTCATGTTTTGATAAAATCCATCAATGTTGTAGACGTCTTCAAATAAAATCCATCAATAAAAGGACAGACCCAGTGCATAGAAGCTCCCACACAAGGTGGGGTCTAGGGAGGGATTATAAGAACCTAGTCTTACCCCTGCAAAGTGCAATGCAAAGAGGCTGGTTCGAACCCAGGACCTCTTGGCACAAGTGGGGAGGACTTCACCACTGCGCCAGGCCTGCCCTCAAATAAAATCCATCAATGTTAAAATTTTTTCTGATAAATGATGGTTTCGTTAACTCGAAATAAATAATAAAGAGATAAAAAAAAAACAAGTAGCACGCTCCCAGCCTCTGCATAGTTTAGGATGCACACCACCGACTTCACCAAACGCATACAACAAGGGAGGCCACAATGGGGTTTTCGAGCCACATGTGGTCAAGGGTTGTAATTTTGCATACCTTAGTGAGACTCGGGATTTGCGGTGATGTTTTCTTTTCTCTTTGTTGTAAGTGATGCTATCTCTATATCATAGCATTTGTCAAAAAACGTCTTAGTGAGTAATAGGGAGTACTAATTTAACGAGCCACCAGCGAAAGCAACCACAAAAGAAAGACTGAAAACTGCCATGTGTGCCCGCCCTATTCCTCTCATTTTACTTGATCCAGCTGAGAAGAGCTTGCACTGGCTACAACCTTTCCCATTTTTTGGGTGATTCTTGTCCCGATCAAAGGCTTGGTTCCCAGCTGGATACCATGAGACACACTCACACGTCAGAGAAGTTATGCTAAACAAAGACAACATCAACCGTCACAATTGGTATGGAAGTAAGAAGTGTAGTTTTTGTACTCATGATGAAACAATCAAACACCTCTATTTTCAATGTAAATTTACGCATACATGATCAGTCATTCAAGTAGCTCCAATTTGTATCCGCCCATGAGTGTTGCCAATATTTTTGGTCATTGCTTGGACGGAATTGCAAATAGGTTCAGAATGCTAATAAGGGTGTGAACATAGAGAGAGGGATTGCAGCACCCGAGCTCCACTGCTCCTTATATTTAAACATTTTGAAATTTGTATTTTTGAAGTTTCAAAAAAATGTGAAATTTTTCACGGGGATACATATAAACATTCTGAATACCCGTGGCAAGTTTTGGTAGAAATCTCGCTTTGTTTTGGGCTATAGAAAAAAAAAACAAATTTCTGACACTATATAGGAGAAAAGGTGTGCCATTTTCTGTCAGAAATTTCTCTTTTTTGTATTTCCCAAAATACAAAGTATTTTGTTTTCAGCTTTTTAGCAGGCCTTAGGAATGTGTGTATGTATTCACGTATTTGATATAAGATTTTTTTAAGCAACTAAAATGTGTTTTTCAAAAATTTCAAATACCAAGAGCCCTGGAGCCCGGTAGCTGCAGCCACTTTTCGTGTGAACGTATCCTTATTATGTGTGCTTTGGTTATGTAGAAATGATATGATTTTTGAGGGCAAATATTCCTTTCCTTTATAGGTTATTTTTCATTGTACGCACTGGATTCATACGTAGTCTACGCTACACCAAACGTAGTACCAATCACTGTTCAAGATGGTATGTATGTGGTTGGAGCGGGTGACCAGGGAGGTTTTTATCCAACATATGTGGAAACATAATCTCCGGATCGATCCACCACCTCATTTGACGTAGGCATAGTGTTGGTCCTATATGACTCTACTGTTGCCGATATGTCAATTTTTTATCGTCTATTAGTTTTTAGTGTTTGGCCGTGTGCTTCTTAGTTATGCAGATGTCGGGTATTGCTCATCATGTTTTGTATCCGCTTGATACAACATTTTGAGTTAATAAAAATGCCTTTTATTGGGAAAAAAATGACACACACACTCGCACACATCTCAACTTCAATGCGCACAAAAGGATTCATTATTTCAAAGTCGCTACTGATTACAATACATTCAACCACAACTTTGTCATTTTGTCTTCTTTTTTTAACGGGGGTAAGCACCGGACTCTTAAATGAACAAAGGTCTGCAAAAGCCCAGGATGCAGCTAGAGGCCTACAGTTACTGCTAGCAGCCTTAGGAAAAATCTTTCTGTTTACTCTTACAGTTCAGGTTACCAGTAGTGCTCAGCCTGTAGTCTTGAGCGCGTACTGGATGACCACAGCCACTGCAAATAATGCTAATAGGAAAATTCTCGTGAGCACAAAGCACCAGACCCTATACATGCATTGCATTGTACACGCAAAAAATAGTACTATAAAATAAAAACATCCCTAGTTCTTGGTTCAGATGATTGTACAGTGCCGGCAAGATTGTTGTTCGCAACATTTCTACGTGAAGATAGAAAGTTGTGTCAGCGGAAGTCACTCGTGAAGGAAGGAAGAAAGTAAATGGAGTGTGGTGTGTGGAATGAACTGTATGTATGTACTACTCACAGTTCAGCCAAGTCCCCGACGAGAAGAAGAGAGAGGACCTCCAGCGGCACCGTGCCAGTCAGCATGTTATCCTCAAGATTCAACTTCACAAGCTTCGTCAGACGGCACAGCCGTGCGGGTATACCTCCTAACAGTTTATTCCGATACAGCCTCCTGCAGACACCAACATGTTGTTTTAAGTAGTTGGAGACAAATAGGCATTTTAGCATCTCTTCAACTGAAAATTGCTGCAGCAAGATTCATACAGAAAACGCAGTGTCCTGATGTTGGCGAGCGAGGCCGGTATAGCGCTGGTGAGAAGGTTGTCGTAGAGATCAAGGGTGACCAGGCTTGTCAGGTTGCCGAGGGTTGTTGGTATGGATCCACTAATGTTGTTCGTAAAAAGCTCCCTGTGAAGATGGTAAGATCATTCTGCATGAAATTCCAGGTGCAATTTGACAAGTTTGCACTCTGCCGCAAGTCGCAATAGTACTTACAGGTACTGAAGGTTCTTCAGTCCTCCCAGCTCAGGGATCAGGGTGCCCGAGATGCCTGCATCCAGCAAATCTCTGCACAGTCAGGTATGATTCAATCAATCTGCAGAGATTCAGCAAGAGGAGTGTAGTTTTTGTGCAAGTTAAAAGTTTCTGAATGTTGAAAACAACTGTGCATACTGCATACAAGAGTGGTAACAACTTCCATCCATGCCATTGCCATGGACTGATCCTATTCTTTCACAACAGCGAGGAGAAAAGAAAAACATACAATCGGGTGACGGAGTTGTCGCTGTTGCAGGTGACATGGAGGCAAGTGCAGGGGTTGAAAAGGGTGGGATCCCAGCTCCCGCAGCACATTGTTGGGGTCCTTCCACGCATGCCTTTGCATGTAAAGGATGTCGCCTTCGGATACCAAAAAATCGTATGTAAATCAGCAGCAAAAAACCCTGTGAGCAGCAATGAACTCACCTGAGAATCGCAAACTACTTAGCATGTACTAGTAGTCTAGTACCTTCAGTGTTGCTGCTTACAATGGTTGCAAGAGCAAGAAGGCTGGCGAGGAGTGCTGCTCCAGTGTGAGCTGCCATTGCTTAAAGAAAGCCTGAGGTGTATTGGCAGGGTGCACTGAAATGCTATATATCATTGCTTAGATACGAGAACGGATCATTGTTTTGGGTTGCGGACTGTTGCAAAAAGTATATCATGGGGCACCGAGACTTATAGTTATAGTTACCGTGCTAGCCGAAAAACACTGGGCGGTTACTACACGATTTCTTTTTAATGGATTTCGGATATGCACAGAATTTATTCAAAATTCATTCAAATTTTCAAATCCGGGAATTTTCACTAGGAAAGGGCGCTTTCTTGTGGGGTACCGGGAAACGCAGTTATCGGGCGGTAACTGAACTTTTTTCCTAGTTACCAAATCCTTGGAAGGGATACACAATTTAAGAACAAAAAGGCAGATTGTTTAAGCGCTCCAAGTTATTAAAATGACAAATGGCAGGAATAGACCAGGTCAAATATGCGCCTCGTTACCTGTCTTACCCCTTCGTCTTTCCTCCCAAGCAAACACGCTACTAGGGTTCCTGCCTCCCTTCGGTGGGGCCGCCGTCTCCTGTAGCCTTAGGGTCGTGGAGGCGCGGTGGATCCCGACCCTTGCCAACGGGAGGGCTCCCTTTTTAGATATTTTTTTTGAGTTTTGTTAAGGTATGTGTTCTACTCAGGAGGCGAGAGGGCGGCAGCTCCTTGGAGATGAAATAGGGTTCTCCCCGTCTAACTCTCGTCTCGGTGGTGTGTCTAGTATCGCCGGAGGGCAGGTGAAGGTGTGTCTCCAGCGGATCTCACAGGATTCGGACGGTGGCTGTCTTTGGTGGATCTGCACGGAGCAGATTTCCGTTCATCTACCTTTGTGTGTCTTCAGGTTGGATCCTTCTGATCTACGCGTCTCTTCATCGGTGGTTGTTCTGGTGCACTGGTTCTATGTGCCCTTAGCATGACGAGTTCCCACCTGTCTACTACAACAAGTTTTGTCTGGCTTTGGTGATGGAGGGGCGATGGCTGTGCACCTTTGACTCGCTTCAGTGCTTGTAATCCTCGCTAGGTGGTCTACAGATCTGGATACAATTTTTAGTATTTCGGGTGTTCGTTGTACTGCTAGCATTTAAGATGAATAGATTGAAAGTTTCCCAAAAAAATACGCGCCTCGTTTTGTTAGACAATAATTTACTCTTTTTTATAGAAGATGCTAAAGATGATAATTTACTCTTAAACTAGGGATTGGAGTAAAAAAAAATCTTGAGAGAATGACTGGTTCAGTAACAAATATTTAGTAGTTCCTAGTTTACGAGTTTTTTTTTTACTATATGCACCACCTCTCATATCTGAAGCTCTGGAATTTTGTTTTGGAGAAGTGGCTCAGAGCTTTTTTTAGGTTCATATTTATGGAGTTCAAGGAGGGAGGTGCTTTGTTGCTTGGCCTCAGGTTTTCACGCCAAAGGGCTGCACGGACTTGTGCTGAGGGCTCACTTGGAATGGATGCACCGCACGGACCCCTCCAAGCTTTGGCAAGGACTGACCATGATTCCTGATCTCAAAGCCCATGCCCTTTTCTACAGCATTGAACATGCCAAAATTGGAAACTTGAACAAGGTCGTGTTCTGAAAAGAGAGGAGGATCAATGGCAGTACAGACTACAGAGTATGAGATTGCACCACTTGTTTTGGTCAAAGTCGATGCATGGATGATCAACAGGAGGCTCATTTCCGAAGGGTTATCTAACAATGCATGGGCTATAGACATCGGCGGTTGGCTAACGAACTATGGACTGATTCAGTTCATCACGTTATGGGACGTTGTGGCTATTGCAGTGAACATTGGCTTGCAGTTTAGCTGCTATGGCAAACGTTTTTTGGTGCCATGGCAGAGCGTTTTTGTTTAATGATCGGGCCATGTCAGAAGTTTGCATACCGACTGTTCTGCACATTAGCTAGTTTGACTAGGTGCCTTCGCCGTTGGGTCTCAGTTAACCTGGTCGCGGGATGGCATGCTTTAGCGGGTCAATTCGACTAGCGGAGTTGGTGGCTAGGTCGACACCCACATGATCTGGCTCGTGGGATGGCACGAGGCCCAATGATCACTGTGGGCATTTTGCTTCTGCCGTCAGGGGCGCTACCTTGTACACTGAATAAAGATTTACATTTTTTTTGCGGGGGAATAAAGATTTACATTGAGTGTATGACAACCGCGTACTATCAAGGGGGACACAAGCAAGGGTACTTTGGTTGGAACTCCAAGATAAGATCACAAGCCAAACATCCTCCAAGATTCACATTAGCAACTATATATGTTTGTTTTTTCGAAGCCCCGGTACCATTGTGTTTTCTCCACCTGTATTATCGAGCCTCTCCCAGTGAGTTAAACCATAGCCAGCAAACTCAGCTATCCACAGGGTAGAACTGTAGCTCCTTTTATTCCAGCATTGCCGAGCCAAGTTTCCTTACGTTCTTTATTCGCTCTGGTGCGTCCAAGCATAACTTTTCACATGGTATATCCAAACATCCTTCAGTTTGCTTCAACATATGTCTAGTCCTCCGAGCAATTCCACCTGGTACCTCTGAGCTATGACTTTGTAAGCTTTACATAGTTCCTTTTTTAGGACAGCTCTATCTACCGCAAGTTCAAATCGGGAAGATGAGAGGTCCAAACAAGAAGAGTAGAGAAAGGAAGATTGTTTTGGGTGATTCCATGAACACTTTCTCTCTGCTTTGAGGCAGAAGCTCCTCCCTTATTGTTGAACGCCTACCTATTGTTCCTCCCTTCTTACACCGTTCATTACTTTTGTGTGTGAGAGAGAGAAAATTTATGGGTTCTTGAGAAGAGCTTTGTTGGAAGATGCTTTTGAGTACTACCAAGTGACTTTGCTCTGCTTCTTACACTTGAAGGGTGTGTGCCACCTAGATGGTTATGAGTCACTTGGTAATCTTCAACTATCAAGTTGTGAGGGAGTCAAGAGTCCGTACAAAGCCTGGAGATCATATTCCAAGTGCCGAGATCTACCGCTTAGCCATGATGTAATAGGTTGATTTCCTTCATCAGTCACTTGGTTAGTGACACAATCGAGATCCTTGTGATCTTAAAACAAATTGGTTCAAAGACTCCATCAATGTGGAGTAGGATATCGCCAAGTATCCAAACCATGGGAAAAATATCACCGTGTACCTTGTGTTTGCATTCCCTAACCATTGAACTTTTACTTCCTTGCAAATTACTCTTTCCATTGCTATTATACTCTGCTTGCTAGGTTGTTTAGTTCTAAAAGTTCTACTCCTAGATTGTTGATTCAAACTATTATCTTGTAAAATTCATAATAGAATTTTGGATACCTCATGCCAATACTGGGTAATATGATCTGAAGAGTAGTGTGTGAGATATCAATAAGTGGTTTGTGCTCGGATTTAGCTCTTGACCACAATAATTTGCATCTATACAATGATGTACTTAGTATCTTCGCGATATTAATATATACTCTTTATCGAAAAAAGTATTGCCTTGATATTAATATATTGACGTCTATCTAAAGAAAAAAAGTTTTTAATCGGACAACTCCTATTCAATGATGTACATGACAATTGGCTATGATTATGATCAACCATGGTTTAGTAGAATATTGTGCTCCCAAAAATTACTAGCATTGAGCTGCCTTTGCATTATTTCTCTTTTCAACTGATGATTTGTTTCTATATGCCTCCCATTCACAGCTCTAA